TTTATTCGTATTTTCGTTGTCAACGCATAGAAAAAAAAATCATCTCACTCAGGATTAAAACGAAAAAGGTATAACATTTTTAAGAATATAAAAAATACTGTTCATTAATTTGAGTTCGAATTTCTGAACTTGAGTTGAAGGGGACACTTGAACTCGAGTTTCAGTCCCAAACTCGAGTTCAAACTCGAGTTTGTACTTAAAAGAACATGAACTTAAATAAAATTGGAACTCGAATTGTCTTTTTTTGAGTTTTTTGGACAGCCGAACACACTATAAGTTCTTAAACCCAAACTTAAGTTAATGAATAATATTTTTTATATTCTTAAAAACGTCATAACTTTTTCGTTTTAATTCCGATTTAGATGATTTTTTTTCTATGCGTTCACAACAAATAGAAAAATAAAACCTCACCCATATATCCTATTAAAATTTGTCATCACTATCGAGTTTTTATTAAAATATTATATAAATACAAATTCAAGTTTTGATCCACTCAAACACAAACTCAAATAGACTCACAATTCAAATCATAACTCAAATGTGCACATCTAAACACAAACTCAAATTACAACTTTAACTCAAATTCAACTCAAAATTTACAATTAAATTATCATAACTCAAAAATATAACCTAAAAAACCCTATTCATATGAGATTCAAAAACAGAAGCCCAACAATAATCGTACTTTTATTTCTTGCACAAAATTTGGAGTACAAAAATCACACAAAAAAGCGACGTGCCCTCGTACTCCGACCGCCCTCATACTCCGACCCATTGATTTAACCTTCCCAGTCTCCACGTAATTGACAAGAAAGAGAAAGAAAAAAAAAATATATAAAAAAGGATAAATCGAAACAGAGAAATCAGAATTCCTAACTGGCCCTTTTTTGTTGTTATTATTACTTTGTTTTTTGTTTTTTTTAATTACTTCGCTGCTATTTGCTAGGTAACTTTGCCCATTCTATCATGAATCGTGAGCTTCTTCGGCCATTGAATTAAACTCTTTTTATTATTCACATTTATAACTATAATTTTTTTTTTTAAGCGACTTATAACTAGTGTTTTAACTCTTTTTATTATTCACATTTATAACTATAACTTTTCTTTTTTTAAGTGACTTATAGCTAGTGTTTTAACTCTTTTAATTATTCACATTTATAACTATAACTTTTCTTTTTTTAAGCGACTTATAACTAATGTTTTTTGAACATGGCCTCCTACTTTATGAAGTGTGCATTTAGTTGGGGGATTCAGACTTGTGATTCAGAGTCAAGTGCAAGAACTTATGTTTGGATCCACCAAATCGTGCGTTGGATTGGAATCAGGGTTTGAGTCCCTGAGGGTTTTTTGGGTCATGATTCAAAATAAGCCCCTCCTGATTCAGCCCAACTTGAATCATTTTGCACAATGCACAAACAGTAACCTGAGTAATGACTCTCACCTTCCTCACGCTCAGCCTCAACTATTCTACTAGAGAATCTCCAGCCTTTCATTCTTCTCATGCTCCTTCAAAGAATCTGCTCAGTCTTTCTCTGTTTTCCCCTTTTCTTTGAATTTTTCACGCTTATCTTTCCTCACATGTTCTCATATTAACCGGGTAAAGAACCTACATCTCTGTGTTTAGATGTACACATTTTGAGTTATGGTTTAAATTGAGAATCTATTTGAGTTTGTATTTAGGTGGGTCAAAACTTGAATTTGTATTTAGACAACATTTTAATAAAACTCAATAGTGATGAAAAATGTTAATAGGGTATATGAGTGGAGTTTTATTCGTTTCTTCATTGTGAACGCATACAAAAATCATCTCATTTAGAACTAAAACAAAAAAATTATGACATTTTTAAGAATTAAAAAAATATTGTTTATTAACTTGAGTTTGAGGTTAAAAACTTGAGTTTAAGGGGGAACTTGAACTCAAGACTTGTTCGGTTGCATTTTTTAGTTGTGGTGACTTGAGTGTAGGTCTTAAGTTGAATTTGAGTTATAATTTGAATTAAAGTTGTAACTTTAGTTTGTGTTTGGATGTGCTGAGTTATGATTTGAATTGAGAATCTATTTAAGTTTGTATTTAAGTGGGTCAAAACTTGAATTTATATTTAAATAATATTTTAATAAAAACTCGATGGTGATGAAAATTTTTAATAGGGTATATGGGTGAGGTTTTATTTGTCTCTTCGTTGTGAACACAAAGAAAAAAAATCATCTCAATCAGAATTAAAACGAAAAAGTTATGACGTTTTTTAAGAATATAAAAAATACTGTTTATTAGCTTGAGTTTGAGTTTAAGAACTTGAGTTGAATGAGAAACTTGAACTCGGATTTTAGTTCCAAACTCAAGTTAAAACTCGTGCTAAAACTTAAGTTCAAACTCAAATTTTACAAACGAAGATGAACTTGAATAAAGTTGTAATTTGAGTTCAAACTTTTGTTGAGTTTTACTCCAAAAGAACAAGCCCTCAACAAGCTGTTCTTTTAAAGTTTTGACTTGAGTTCAGATCTTGATTTGCGTTAATGTGTATTTGAGTATAGTTTGAGTTGATACTCTAATTTGAGTTTGTGTTTGGATGTTCACATTTTGAGTTATGATTTGAATTGATAATCTATTTGAGTTTGTGTTTGAGTGGGTCAAAACTTAAATTTGTATTTAGATAGTATTTTTGAGCTCGTTTAATTCGATGATTCGAGTTTTTAATTTGAATTGAGATGTGACTTTATGTAAGAGCTTTTTACTGTAGCTAAAAAGTTAAATGTGACTGTTTCTGATAACTTTTTACTGTTATAAAACTTGAACTCGAATCGGTGAAATGAACGAAACTTTTGAGTTTATGTGCAAATGAACAAGCCCTAAGCACCCAAACTGAAAAAAAGTGTAAACTCGAGTTACAACTTTATTCAAGTTCACATTCTTTTGTAAAATTTGAGTTTGAACTTGAGTTTGAACGAGTTTGGGGCTAAAATCTAAGTTCAAGTTTCTCATTTAACTCAAATTCAAGTTAATGAATAATATTTTTTCTATTTTAAAAAACGTCATAATTTTTTCATTTTAATTTCGAGTGAGATGATTTTTTTATGTTTACAACGAAGAGACAAATAAAACTCCACTCATATACCCTATTAAAAATTTTCATCAACATTTAGTTTTTATTAAAGTACTATCAAAATACGAATTTAAGTTTTAACTCACCCAAACACAAACTCAAATAGATTCTCAATTCTAACTATAACTCAAAATGTGCTCATCTAAAAACAAACTTAAATTAGAGTCTCAATTAAAATTATGCTCAAATACACCTTAACTTAAATTAAGATCTGAACTCAAGTCACCATAACTTAAAAAATGTAAATAAACAATATCTTGGAAATCTGTCTCTTAGGAACGTCTTAGCAGTAAAAATCAATATCTCTAAACTCAAGTCAATATTATATTATACTCTTTCTAGTTTCTACAAAAAAAAGAAAAGAAAAAAAGAGTTCATATTATACTCTTGAAAAAAAGCCATACTTCTAAATAAAGTAAAATGCTGTTGATCAATAGTTATTATGTCTATTTCACAACTCATTTGTATTACGTGCCATACATTTTTTTTTTTTTTTTTGTGAAATTACCATTCAATCTTAGAACAAGCTTGATTTGTTGTAACGTTTTAGATTAATTATTGTTAGCTCAATGCTATGGAATTAAATTTGAGAAATAACCTTTGCCACTAAAATCTTATTAAAATTTTCATCACCATTGAGTTTTTATTAAAATACTATCAAAATACAAATTCAAGTTTTGACACACTTAAACACAAACTCAAATAGATTCTCAATTCAAACCATAACTCAAAATGTGCATATCTAAACACAAACTCAAATTAGAGTCTCAATTAAAACTATACTCAAATACACCTTAATTTAAATTAAGATCTGAACTCAAGTCACCCTAACTTAAAAAATACAAATAAACAATATCTTGGAAATCTGTCTCTTAGGAACGTCTCAGCAGTAAAAATCAATATCTCTAAACTCAAGTCAACATTATATTATACTCTTTCTAGTTTCTACAAAAAAAAAAGGAAAAAAAAAAAGAAAAAAAAAAGAAAAAGAAGAGTTCATATTATACTCTTGAAAAAAAAGCCAAACTTCTATACTAAAAAGTAAAATGCTGTTGATCAATAGTTATTATGTCTATTTTACAACTCATTTGTATTACGTGCCATTCATTTTTTTTTTTCTTTTTTTTTGTTTTGTGAAATTACCATTCAATCTTAGAACAAGCTTGATTTGTTGTAACGTTTTAGATTAATTATAGTTAGCTCAATGCTATGGAATTAAATTTGAGAAATAACCTTTGCCACTAAAATCTGGAAAAATACTCAATTGATCTGTAGTTCGTGATCTACATCTAGCTTAATATTAAGGTTTTAATATTTAAATTCTCTATTCTCAAGTTCAAAAAAATATACGCACATAAACCCAATTAGATAAAGGCCGATTAGACTCAATTGAAATTGCTTATAATTAATTAGACATATAAAAATAATAATTAGATGAGAGCATAATGCCATAATGCAACAGAATAAATAATGCTAATTTTTTTCCATCTCCTAATCAATGACAGAAATTATTAAACACAAACATCTACATTGAAAACAATGTTTGTTTTAGCCCATATGCGTCACTCACCTAACCGATCACCTTAAAGTTTAAACACATAAAAGAAAATTAGTTTTTTCATTTAATTTTTTTATTAAATTAAAATTTAAGATTAAATTAAAAAAATGAAAAGAAAAAAAAAACGAAATACGTGTAATAAAAGGGATCTAATAAGGTAGAACCGAGCTCCCAAATGTCGACGAAGCCGGTAATGAGAGAGAGAGACCCATAGAAGCCACAAAGGTCACACAAAAGGGTGGGCAGATTTCGTAATTAATGCAAAATACAAGGGCAGAAGGAGGAAGTCCCTAATATTTAATTGACAGCGACGCAGAAGTGAAAGCCAGCAGCCAAAAGAGCCATCCAAACAACAGCCTTTCTTTCTCTCTCCTTAAAATCCCCCCTTCCTTCACCTCTCATTGTGGTTCTCTTTCTCTCTCTATCTCCCTCTCTCTCATCGCTCTCTCTCCCCTCTGTGTCTCCGCGTTCTCTTCTCACACAATCTCATCCTCCCTAAGAGATTCGTCGTCGCCTTCTCGATCCCCCAACTGTAAGTTGTTTCTCCTCAATCTCAAACCCTAATCTCTCTCTAATCCGATCATTCTCGTTCGCTTCCCCAGATCCCCAATTTATTCACTTTTTTTGGGGGGGGATTTATATGTTGTCGTTGTGAATTTTACTTTGGCTTATTTGTTTTTCGGTTCGATTTGGTGCTGATTTCAGTTTCTATTATTTGATTTTACTGTTTGCATGCCGACGATTTTGGATGCTTTTGTAATTTGTGTGGTTATTTGTTAATTTGATTTCGTTGACGACGGGATTAATTTGATACGCGATGTCTCCGATTTATGATTTCGTTGTTAATTTGGTTTCCTATTGCTCGAGTCCGGAAGTGGTGTTTGTTAGATGATTTGGGATTTTAGGGTTTCATTCTGGGCATTTTAGGATTTTTGTCTTCTGATCTTATCTTAGTTTGATTCTGATTTTTCTAGGGTTTTGACGCCTTTGGATTTCTTGGTAGTATCTTGTTCGCATATGGAAAAGTTGAAGTGTTCATTGCCATTACTAAACTGTAGTTGCATGTTTGAATGATATTCTGATGGCTTTTAGATATCACATTTTCGTTATTTTCTTCAAATTCTTTTTTGGTTTGTGAGAACTTGTAAAAGAGAGAGTGAGCAACGTCTTGCTAGTTGCTAGTACGATATTGTGCTTTCTTTCGTTTTTCTATGTGATTCATGCATTGCTTCATAATTCGTATTCAATTGCATGTTCTCGTTCTATCAAGGGAATAAAAGCGCTCGTTTATATACTTAGATCTACTTGGTAGAATAGTTTGGTTAGAATTTTAACCTTTATGTTAATTTGCACTTTTATTGACCCCCTTAAGGCAATCATGAGTGACGAGGGAGAAAAGACTTGTCCTCTTTGCGCTGAGGAGATGGATTTGACGGATCAGCAATTGAAGCCCTGCAACTGTGGATATGAGGTTTGTGACACTCGTTTTTATTTGTTGGTTTGGATGGGAATGGGGATTGCTTTCAATCTCGTACCATATTTTTCCCTTTCCTTTTCTCCTATATGTTATATGCGCTGTCAAGGAAGTTAAAACTATACATTTGTAACAATGTGAAAGTGTTCCGATAAATTTGCTAGCTCTGGATGTCTGTTATTTTCCCACCCCGTTTGAGTAAAATTTTAATTGTTATTTCTTCATGTCAGATATGTGTTTGGTGTTGGCATCACATAATGGACATGGCTGAGAAGGATGAGTCGGAGGGCCGTTGCCCTGCATGCCGTACTCCTTATGACAAGGAAAAGATAGTGGGGATGGCTGGGAAATGTGAAAGGTTTTCATTTATTTTGTTACTCTTTCTTCTTGCCTTGAAAGGGATATCCACCTTTGTTCAGGTTATTTCTACAATTATATTCATATTTGTTCCTCCTTTTTTCTACATATATTACCAGCAGATTGGTGGCAGAAATCCACATGGAGAAAAAGATGAAATCACAGAAAGCAAAGACCAAATCGTCCGAAGGGCGGAAGCAGCTCAGCAGTGTGCGGGTGATTCAAAGGAACCTTGTATACATTGTTGGGTTGCCTCTGAATCTGGCAGATGAAGAAGTATCTTCCATCTCCTTCCCCTCCCCCCCGGCTCTCTCTCTTTCTCTCACACACACCCACACACTCACCAACAACATAGAGAGAGGGAGACATGCAATAGTATACGAGCTTATGTTTGAATTTCAGGGATACGTGTCAATATTTATGATTTGTCAATCATATATTTGCAGCTTCTCCAGCGTAGAGAATATTTTGGTCAGTATGGGAAGGTTCTCAAAGTATCCATGTCTCGAACGGCTGCTGGTGTTATTCAGCAATATCAAAACAATACTTGTAGTGTGTAAGTTATCTGTGTCCATTTTGTCTGTGTTTTAACTTATCTAAATTACAGACAATTCCTTTCCTTTCCTCTTTTTCTTCTCCTTTTTTTTTTTGCTTTATTTCCTTCTACATGTCTTTATCACAATTTCTTTTTATGTCACAATCTTTTACTGACCTGTTCTTATTTTATCTTGCGAATGCATTGTATTTCAATCCTGTTATCTGTGTTGGCTGTTTGAATTGTCTTGTATGCGAAACATCATAGTATATGACCATATTTCCTTGTGCTCAGATATATTACTTACTCGAAAGAGGATGAAGCCATTCGTTGTATTCAAAATGTACATGGGTTCGTCTTGGAGGGTAGATCTTTGAGGTACATACTTGTTTGCCCTTATTGAGACCTATTCTGAATTCCCAGTAGTGTAATATATTTGATAATGTGTAGCACCATCTAACTACTGATATGTATATTTTGTTATCGTCTATTTTAGGGCTTGCTTCGGAACCACAAAGTATTGCCATGCATGGCTGAGAAGCGTGGTATGACCATTGCTTCTCCTTTGTCGTCTTCTTCTTGTTTTGAACAAAATCTTATTAAATTGTTATCCTTTCTGATATATTCTTATTATTGAGGATTTATTTTCTGTTGTTTTCAGCCATGCACCAATCCCGATTGTTTGTATTTGCATGAGATTGGGTCTCAAGAGGATAGTTTTACAAAAGATGAAATAATTTCAGCTTACACAAGGTATATTTCGAATCGGCTTCCTGCCAAGTAGTTTGTTTAAGATTGTATGGTCCTGTACTTTTTCGTGATAATTTATTTTCTTGAGCGTGATAGGTGAGGGATATATATTTTATAAAAATGTAAATCTTCCTGTGGGAGCTTTTTATTCTTTGTGCTGTTAATAACTTTTGACATTCTTTTTTCATAATTTTTTTGTGTACGGATCCCAAAGTACAAAGAGGCTCAAATAAATTTAATAGACAATGGATCAATGACCAGCTCTGATTTTGGTTGAATATTGATTCCTGGCCTTTGACTGCATGAGATGTCTTGAAATTTTCTAGATTCATGAAATATGCTGGACTCATGTTATTTTGGGTGCTGATATATTCTTTCTTTCATTCTTACATGGCAAAAAATTTCCGTCTTTCTGCTATTTGAATGGTTGATGCGGTGTTCTATCCTATGCTTAGTTTAACTTGCATGATGGTTTTAAAGGAGTAGGGTTCAACAAATTACTGGTGCTGCAAACAATGTGCAACGCCGTTCAGGGAATGTTCTACCACCACCTATTGACGATTATTGCAATAACAGTTCTGCTTCTTCTGGAAAACCTATAGTAAAAAATGTGTCAAGTGTAAGATTCTAGCTTTTCTATTACCATCTTCAGTCTCTGTTTCATGGACATATTTAAGTTTTTAAGTATCTAATTCTCCTTAATGCTCTGAGTTCCTATTTTGCTGTGTTTATGGTAGAGCATTTATAGACGTGTAGAAAGAATCTGGAGGCACGTTTTGATGGCTGATTTCTTCTTAGAATGATGTTTTTGGAAACTTTTGTTCTGATTTTGATGTTTAATCTAGCAGAATACTGGAAATATTGCTAGAGGTTCTCCTCCAAATGGAAGTTCTGGTAGATCTATTGCTCTTCCAGCTGCAGCCTCATGGTGGACCTTTTTTCTTTTCCTTGTTTGGCCCTTTATTTATCAGTGTAATCGATTTCTTACTTTTTCACTGATCATGGCAGGGGTATGCGTGGTTCAACATGCCAACCACAAGCTGCAAATTTAACATGTACAAATGGAACCTCAAAACAGAAACCTGACACAGCTAGCAATACATTGGCATTTTCGTCAACAGTTGCAGCTGCTACTCAGAGTTACACATTGCATGGTGATGGAGGGAAGAGACAAGCATTAATTGAGGAAGGTCACAATATCGATGCTAAAGTTAAACCAGAAACATTGAGGTCTGTGAAACAGCATAGTAACTTGGATTTTCGAAACAGTATGCCTGAGAAACCTGCTGCACTCGATGGAGGTTTTTCTGTAAATTTGAGCAGTCAGATCTCTTGTCCACCAGTATTGAAAGACAATGATAAAGGTATTAATATGCCACCAAACATTTCAGATGACAATGACCAGGACAGGCAGTCCTCCACTTCTTCTGGTCATGAAAATGAACTGCTCATGAGTTCTGATGGTCGTATCCAGAATTTATGCTCTGAAATGTCTTCAATGAGCACGGATAGAAATGTCATGGATGAACACTCTGGTATAACTTCACCTAGTGGTGGATTTTCTGATCACTCCTTTATTAAACCACCTCAGGGTCAAGGGCTGAAACAATATTATACCGATCAATCTAGAGAACCTTCTAGAATAGCTCAGAAAGCTGTATCATCAATTGATGAAGTTTGCGTTTCAAGAGATCAGTCTGACTGGATATCAGATTCACGGACACAAGTGGTGCCAAGTACATCTTCTGAGTTGGAAGAAGACATAATATCTTTTGACAATCAACGGCTTAAGGATCCTGAAGTTGTTAGTCTTTCTAATTATTTTCCAAATTCTTCCAAGTCACTCCATACTTCATTTCAGCAACAACATGAGGCTTACTCAGCGGTTAATTCAAATGCCGATCGGCTATTTGTGGATAACAAACTTAGGGACAGTTCAATGACATCTAACGGGTACCCTAATAACTTTGGAAATGGCTTTATTGGTTCTGATAGAACGTCAGAGCATTCCTTTTTGCATCTAAATGAGGATACAGGAAAGCACCTGGGAAGATTCCTGGGTGAAGCTGCTAGTGCTGATGCCAATTCTATTGTAGATAAAGGGGAAAGCAGCATAATTTCGAATATATTGTCTCTTGATTTTGATACTTGGGATGAATCATTAACATCACCTCAGAATTTGGCTAAATTGTTGGGAGACGATGAAAAGCAGTCTGGATCTCACAGAATATCAAGTTCTTGGAAGGGGCAAACTAACAATCAGTCCAGGTTCTCATTTGCAAGACAGGAGGAGTCTGTAAACCAAGCATTTGGCGTACAGCCATCTCTTGGTGTAATTGGTCATATGTCTAGTAACCGGCCTTTCAGCCATGACTTTGCTGATAGCAGAGACCGATATCTTGATAAGATTGGGTTTGGTAATGGTTTCTCATCCAGTAATTTTGAAGAGTCTGAGAATCATGCTAGCAGCCATTCAGCTTTCCCTCCAAATAAGCATTCTGGTGCGTATTGTTTGGGCATGGATTGTTTATAGTTTTGCTTTCCTTTTTCTTTTTTTTTTTCCTTTCCTTTTCAAAGGGTTAAAAAAAAAACCATTTTTACTTGGTGTTATTGTTAGTTTAGAACTTTACGCACTCTTAGAGTTTATTTTGTTTTAACTTTGTACGAACCTTTTCTAGAAAGCCAACTTCTGGACATTTGTCATTTTGCATCATTTTTTTATTCTTTCCTCAAGATGAAATAAGTCTAAAGTTTATTTGGTTGTGCTGTGAGCTTTGAGAAGTTAGTTAACTTTTGTCAGGTATGAACTATAAAGTTGATTATAGATGGTGTTTGTATGCAATATTAGAGGATCTTTGTTGGTGGTATTATATTAATTTTTTTTCCTGGCGAGATTACTTTGCCACTTTGAAAATGTTTCTGTTGCCACGTATTTTGTTGGATGATAACAACATTTTTTTTAAAAATTGTTTATTTAGAGCTTTCTCTTGCAGTCTTGGCTTGCTATAGATGTGACTTCATTTTTGTGTTGAGATGGGGTTAAAGTTTGCTGTAGTTGCTTCTTTTACCCTTTTTTTTATGAATGTGTTCAGCAGTTTCAAGGGCTCAAATATCTGCTCCTCCTGGGTTTTCAGTGCCTAGCAGGGCACCACCTCCAGGCTTCACATCTCATGAAAGACCGGACCAGGCTTTTGACTCCCTATCTGGTGAGTTTTCAAAGATTTTATCTCTTCTAGTTAGGTCTGTCCTTGTGCTTATTTGATCCTGATGAACATAATAAATCTGTTCTCAACTTTCTCAGGGAATCGTTTGCTTGACACTTCCTCTTTTTTGAGAAATGCATATCAACAACCACAGGTTACAGGAAACATGGGTAGCTCAACTGATATTGAGTTCATGGATCCTGCCATATTGGCAGTTGGTAAAGGAAGGCTTCAAGGCGGGCTTAACAATCCAGCTTTAGAAATGAGATCAAATTTCCCATCACAATTTAGTCCCTTTGAAAATGATGCAAGGCTTCAACTTTTGATGTCGAGATCCCTCTCCCCACAACAGAACCTTAGATTTCCTGACATTGGAGATGGTTTTTCTCATCTTAGTGATTCTTATGGAATATCTTCAAGGCTTGTTGAGCAATCACAAGTTAACAATCTATCACCATTTGCCCAAATGTCCCTCCAACAGTCTAGAAATGGGCTTGTGTCGAATGGCCATTGGGATGGGTGGAATGAGGTTCAGGGTGGAAACACTTTGGGCATGGCAGAGCTCCTTCGAAATGAGAGAGTAGGATTTAACAAGTTTTATGCTGGTTATGAGGACTCCAAGTTTCGGATGCCCAGTTCTGATATTTACAACAGAACATTTGGGATGTAATTCTTGTGGAATGGGTGTTTTGACTACTAGTTGGCCAATGAGTGGCGGAAGCTCAAGGGTGTATTTGCGTGGTATTGTGGCCTTGTATACTCAATGATGGGATTGACTCGTAACTGGTCTCAGTAAGCAGCCGATGTAGGATCGAACTCCAAAAAAAATATGGGGTTTCCAATACTGCAGGTAAGAATGAATTTCTTGTTTAGTTTTCAGAATTAGTCGTTTATGCAAATATTACTAGTTCCTGGTATGGGATGTGATTATTCCAAGCAAGTTTCCCACTTTAAGAATGCACCTTTTTGGCTCTCCTGTTCAAGGTTAGAAGTTCTTGTGGAGATGAGGGATGTATATCTGTGGCTGCAGTTTAGCATTCAGCACAAGAAATGCCATCTTGTAATTGATTGATAAAAGGCTGGCTATCAGATCTTTTTTCCTGGTCATCTTTATAGCCTCGGGGCTCTAATGTTTCTATTATTATCGAAGCGAGCATGAGTTAAAAATTAAATTGGCCTGAGAAAGAACTGAACTTAAATCTATATAGGAGCTATGAATTGATTCAGCCCAAATGCATTATTATCTTGCAGTTGTAATTATGATGTGTATTGAGTTCCTCGTAAGATTTTTGGATTCATTGGTCGCTTACTTTTGAGTTTGTTGTAATGTGTTATTTTGGTTTAGAATGTTTTTTCGTTTGTTTGACTCGGCATACTCTTTTACGGCGTTTGCAGGTGAAGTAATGTGCTATAATCTATATCTGACGCAAATATTGAAATGGAGATTGCAATATGTGATCGGGCTGTTCATCATCTGGAAATCAAGTATTAGCTCCTTACTATAGAAGACAAGAATGCGGTCTTTGCTCTCTCTACTAACTAGATAAAACCCTTCCCCTTTTCTCCTTTTGAAGTTCTATAATACCGCCTTCAAAAGTCACACATACTGAGGTTATATTCAAATTGATTTGAACTGATTTTCTTCTGATTATGCTTTGGTGTCTTTAATAGAACTTTCTCGTATTGTTAAGTTCTCCAATAGCTGATATACAAACGTTTTGAGTGTTTAGAACGTCCCGACCTATGTTTGTTGTGCATGCCATCTACTTATATAGAACTGAAACTGTTTGATTGTTGGTTGTCTTGGTGCATGCCATCACTACCTAGGCTGGCTTATTGGATTTGTTTTATGGGCGCAGTGCAGATTGTTATCATATGCTATCTGCGTAATTAAAACGGATCTCCTCACTATTTTTCTAGCATGAATATCATAAATCGATTTGAAGTGTTGACTATGACTATAAATTTGAATGAGCGAGACATCTTGCTAAATTTCTGCTGCTTGCCATCTCTTTGTCATATGCTTATGATAAGGGAAAAGTAAAACAATGCTGCATGTGAAATAGTGGAAAGATTTTGTTTTTTTCTTAATCGTGAAAAGGATGTGCCTGCGAGTAGTATCACTGTGATCTCTGGATATTTGGCAGACGTCTTTTAGTTTATTACTTTTCAAGTGAGACGTAGCTTTTGCAAACTTTATTTTATGAGGGCAAATTAGTCTTCCTAATGTGAATGTGTGCGTGTTTGTCTGATTAGGGATTTGCAAGGGGAACGAAGAAAGTCCTAACGGGTTACCCATTCATAATTCATTTCTTGTTTTGAGTTGTAGTTATTGGATGGGCTTTACACACAGTAACGAACATGCTAATTCTTTCCCAGATAATTGGGAAATGTGTCTTTAGTTTTATGCTCTTAGTCTTCTTAGGTTAATATTAAGGATAAAAGTTGAGAGCAGAAATTTCACCGATAAAGTATATAAATTCTGCAATTAATTCCAAGCAGAAAAATTATATGACGTGGATTTGGATTATAGAACTTGGAAGTCCTGTCCAGTTTCCGGTTGAGATGTCATAAGAACCCCGTTTGTTGATGCCATGCTTCAAATACCTTGAGAGGCTTGAACGGTAACTCCGTAACTGTGAGTCTTCTAGTTCATATATCACAAAACGTATCAATTCGAAGATGCAAAAGTTGTGATATGTAACTATTTTCTCTTTTGTAATTATGAGAATGAGATTGGACGCATGATCAGCCAAGAAACATGGGAATCTGACTTTTCGTCTAATTGGCTCAGTGGGTTAGTAAGACTTTTATTACATTAGCGTTCCCTTCCCTGGGCAAAGTGGGTTAGTCAGACTTTTATTATACTAGCGTATGAATTTTTATCCTTTATTTTTAATTAATTGTTTTTTTTATTAATATGGTTATTTGACTAAAGAGAATATGAATCAGGATTTAATCCTAAGGTTATGTTTGGAACTCAAATTCTAGGGCAGAAAAAAAATTGAAAGAAAATGCAAAGAAAAAAATGAGAGAAAAAACAAATGCAAAGAAAAAAAATAAGAGAAAAAACAAATGCCAAGAAAAAAATGAGAGAGAAGACGTGCAAAGAAAAAAAATGAGAAAAAACAAAGGAAGCTTTTGCTCTGTTTGGAATTCATTCCTTGATAGAGAGACTTGTGGAATAAAATTTGAATTTTGTTTTTTTCTCTCTTTTTGAGGAAAATAAAATCCATAGTTTTTGCTCTGTTTGGAGCTCAAGGAAAGGAAGGAGGAAAATTTTTGTTGACCGTCTAGAGAGAGAATGTGAGAGAAGAGGGAGATGTCACCATTGCCGGCGCCAGCCTACTGTTGCTGGAGAGGATGAAGACGAGAGAGAGAGAGTAGGGGTAAGAGCGTGAAGAGAGGGAAGAGAGGGAAGAGAGAGAGAGAAGAAGAAGAAACAGAACGAGAGAGAGAAGAAGAAGAAACAGAACGTGAAGAGAGAGATACCGGGTGGGTGAGAAGAGAGAGTACGAGGTCGGAGATAGAGAGATTTGTGGAATAAAATTTGGATTTTGTTTTTCCTCTCTTTTTTTAGAAAAATAAAATCCAGGTTTTACATTATGAAATTTCCCTTAAAATTGCTTGAAAAATTTTTTCATTATTTTTTTTTTGTTCCAAACAAGAAAAATTAAAATCCTTCAATTTTTTTCCCTTCCCCCCCTTAAAATCCGGGTTCCAAACATATCTAAGAACATGGGTATTTGTCTCTATTTCTGTTAAACTAACAAACAAGCCAATTAAACAAAGGAGAATAAAACTTAGGGTGTTTGGTACGATGATTCATGTCATAATTTAAATCATAGTTCGTGATTCGTTATAGTATTTTTTTTAAAAAAAAATACATGTAAATTGAGAATAATTTAAATCTGTGAACCAAAATAATTTGTATCCGTACTTGTTATCTTTCAAGATAGATTTCTTGCAGGAATATACTTCAAAATGCTACGTTAGAAGCCTAGAATTGACAAATGACCCAAGGACGTTCTAACATGAATGAATATACACATCTAAGGCGCGAGGTTCTCGTGAAATTCAAAAAGTTATTAAGAAGGGAATTCCAGGAATAGTACGGGTTTGACAGAAGTTGCATTATTTGGGTTGACAGAGGTTGCATTATTATCTTCTTGTTGTTGTAGTCTTGTCCAATGCTTTTCCTTTATTATAGCAAAATGCAAAACCCACATTATTAAACTGTCTCCTTTAAGTTCTTCTTTCGATACAAGTTGAAGTAACTGAGTGAACTCCTTTTGGAAGTATGCATTAAACATATCTTTTAGAATGCATTAAACATATCTTTCTTTCTCTTTTTCATTCTTTCTTTATTTATTTTTTATTTTTTACTTGTCTGAAGCACAGACTTTAGTTCTTGATTATTGTGAAAAAAGGTTTTTTAATTTTAATTTTAATTTTTTGAAGTAACTGAGTGAACTCCTTTTGGAAGTATGCATTAAACATATCTTTCTTTCTCTTTTTCATTCTTTCTTTATTTATTTTTTATTTTTTACTTGTCTGAAGCATAGACTTTAGTTCTTGATTATTGTGAAAAAAGGTTTTTTAATTTTAATTTTAATTTTAATTTTTATGCCTTGTTGCCAAAAGTACCCAGTGCGTAATAAATTATGTACTGCCGTAAAACCCTCCTTTTTTTCTTTTTGGTTTTTCTCTGTTTTTCTTTCTTCAACTTTTTTCCCAAAAAAAAAAAAAAAAGAACCCACCCAAAAATCAATAGTTTTGTTTGGTTACATAGATAAGGCATTAGTCATCAAGGGTATTCTATGGATTTCACAGGTCAAAAATTCGTCGTCCAAGAAAGGATATAGATTTAAGCATAAGTTGGCAATTGAAGATATAATTATGCAACGACGTAAAATACAAGGAATGATTTTTTTTTTTTTTTATATCCTCCAAATGCGAGGTATAAAAATGTAAAGAGAAGAAAAAACTTATAAAAATAAGAGTTTAAATTAAGACAAAGCAAGAATAATCATGAACCTCATAAGTCATAACACAAGAAATTCATGCTCTCAATAGAATCAAATTGGTTGTTGCCTCCTTAGATAGGTGATTGGGAATAATTCAAATGAGTGCCACTTTTGTCGGCAACGGCCATTTATGCTTGAGTTGGTCCCTTTAAAAGGTGAAATGTCTGTTCAAGAAACTGACTTATCATCATTTTTTTTTTTTTGTTCGTTTCTTTCTTGAAACAAAAATTGTTTTAGAATTTATTCGGTTTTTGATAACCTGAACGTTGCTCAAATAAAGAATTTGGTGAACGTAAAAATGTTGTTGTGGTCCTTATGAAAATGATGACAGATTGGGGGGTAGGGGCCTTCTTGTTCTAGGCTTATTTGCATCCTTGAGGAGCCCACAAGAAAACCTTATCCCTGGAGCCCACTGAAAGCCTTATCTGAGGAGCCCACATAGAAAATCCAAAGGCTCATATGTATTCACTCGTAATTTCTGTTAGGATAAAAAAAAAAAAAAAGTAGTAAATAGTAGCTTACAGAAAGTAATTATTATAATAAATAGAATGAAACTAATTATAATAAACAGTAGGTTTTGTATTCTACTGAAGAAAAAAGATAAAAATTTCAGCAAATGTGTATTAAGCTGATGATACGTGTTACTCTAGGACCTTAACACATTACTTAAACGTACTTTGCAAGTGACTTCGCTAAATAATAATTAATTAGGATTAAGCTGTAACTGTCACATTATTACAGAAAATACATCATTTAATCTACTTGACCCTTAGCGTGACTTTATACATAATGGTCTAAAAATATGCTCAGCACCGATGTTGCTTTATACTATTTCCCTTACCTTTTACTTGAGATGTCGCTTGCTAATGCCACATATTATTGCAGACAAATAGAGAACACAGGATAGAAGCACCATGCAAGCAAAGAGAATTATGTGGCGACGTAAAAAAAAAAAAAAAAAAAAAAAAAAAAAAAAACACTATCCATAGAATATGACTCTAAACTTATACCAATCGTATATGATCATATTAAATTACAACAAAAAAAACATGATAAAATGAAATTTGGTAAGACTAAAAATATAACAGCTTAAAATGGAGGTTGTATTCAATTAAATAAAACGCGATATACAAAACAAAACCCTAGACACAGTAAACTTTGATGAAGCTCAAAAAGAAAAACGTACGCCGAGATTATTATAATTCTCTCTCTTTTTTCCTTGGTAATAATCGAACCATATCATAGAATTCTCTCGTAAATCGTAATCAATGTGGGAAGCAAATGTAGCATAGAATCCATCCACTCCTTTTTTATTTTTAGAAGTATACAAGAATGACAGGTGGCTAACTATTCCTAAACAGTTCTCATAACGCGTAGTTCAAAAAACGGATGATAATCTATCCTGTTTAGAAGAGCTTTTTGGTCTCCTTAAAAGAGGTCACTTCGACACTCTTACCACAACAGGCACCCAAAAGAATTGTATTGGTTTATATATATATATATATGTATGTTTTATATCTTATGACAAAGACGAAAATAGCATATAGATGTGGCACCAGCACCACACAAAGAGCCCACAAAACAATCATCAATGCCTTCGCCCACCAATTGGGGTGTCTCAATCAGCGCCACATATAAATATTAGTTTAATGATTCAATAAATGCAAAAATCTATTTATAACCCCACCAACCAAAAACCCTCACGCAAGCTAACCTAGAGTCCAAATCCGATAAACTGGAGAAAATTTAGACATGCAGCATAATCTTACTAGTTAGGTTGTAACAATAAATTTTGAGTACTTTCTAAAATATTTTAAAAAAAAATCGTTGTATTTCAATTTACAAAGAAAATTGTTGAAGTTATTCTTAAGGCGTAGAGTCTAAATTTTTATTTCTTACTCTTATTAATATATATTTTTAACTAATATAGTCATTT